AAATCGAAAAGATGAAAGTCACTGGAGAAAACTTTGGGATGTCTTGAGCATAGAGAAAAGGAAAAGGCAGGCGCATTTAAATAAACAAGAAGCTCAATAGAAAATCCAGAGCATTCTTAATCAGTGGCTCTGGGTTTTTTTGGCCAAGCTCAGGAGTCCTTGGCTTGCAGCGCCCTGGAGTTTATTTAGTGCAGCGTTGGGTCTTATGTCAAAATGGTATCAAGGAGAAGATGGATTGCAGATCTGGCAGGAGCCATCTGCTTCAGAGAAGGAACCTTATTTTAAATAAATAAATAAACAAATCCCACCCCACAACTAACTCCTGCTCATGCCAAAGTGGTTTGACAGGGAGATTTCTTTTTTCTTTTTCTTCCTTCTTTCCTCCCCCCCCCCCCGCCACTGCCTTCCTTAACACTTCTGGATCTGAAAACGATGTCAGAAAGAAGAAAAATTGGAAGCACTTGCCTCACCTCTCCATCATTAACATACATTTGACCTTGAAGCAAAACTGATACGCTGGGCAGAGATAGAATGATTCTGCACACAAACAACTCTCCTTATTTGTCTATGTGTCCTCAGATCCATCTCTGGGAGACAAGAGGGTGAAGGGCCTCCACTGAAGAGACTGGGGAGGGTTCAACTGTTTCGGAAAACTTCCCTGCAAAATGTTTGGCAGAGAAGAAGCCTTTGGATCATCCGTCAGCACCCTCCCTCTCATCACACTTCATAGGCTATATATAGCACAGGGGTCTGTAACCTGTGGTCCTTCCACACATTGCCAGACTCCAGTTCCCATCATCCCTAACCATGGACCAGTTGGGGCTGGTGAAGCTTGGGGAAACATCTTACAGAGTTTATTTCTTTAGCTGCATTGGATGAACTTGCCCATAAAACATGTTAGGCAGCAGCCTGTACCTGCCAATTAGAATACACTGCCTTGATCCTCTTTCTGTTCTGATGTTATTATCATCGAAGCTTTCCAGAAATCTCTTTTCTAAGGACAAATAACTTTCTTTCCTTTGCCTCAGCCTCTGAGGCTTTAAGTTTCACAGGCACTAATTTGGGGTCATGTAGGGGAGGACTGGGAATACAAACCACACCAAGACAGAGCCCTGTTCTATGAAGGGATCCCTCACTGAGAGGAGCGGTGGGCCTAACTTGACCATCTACAGGGCTCTTATTGGATAGGATGGACACCGTCATCAATAATGGTAGAACCCTGAGAAGCAGCCCCCTCTTCCTCTATTCATCCTTCTCTTCCTTTTGTAAGCGCCCTGGCCTGCCAGCCAAGCTGGTTAAGAGATTAACACTCTTAAAACCACATTTACTCTAATTAGCCATGAAATCTTTGTAACTAAGTGAAAAAATGTTTCCCTTGAGGGAGTTTTGTCCATTCACCACTGTTTGAATTGTGAGAAGGGGTGGGGGGGTGGGGAGGGAGAATGCCAGGAGGGAGCAAAATAAAATAAAATAAAGTAAGATCAGATCTAATGAATTAATAACAGAATGCCCAAGGGGGTAAGCAGGCTTTGGCTATCGAATACAGGCACCTTGGATGAAGGAAGGAGAGGAAAATGAGGGTGTGTGGGGGCTTCTTTTGTAGCCTTCCCCCTCCTTCCCAGGCCTGGCTAAATGGATGGTTGTGAATTATTTCTAGTTAACAGACTGTAACACAATGCGTAGGTCTCTTTATGATTTGGTTAGTAGCTTGGCTAGCAATTCCTGGTTTTCCCATTTGTAGTGATGGACAGAAGTACATTGTACCCCCCGGCTACGCATGTAGACAGCTGTGCGCAGCTACACGAAGAGACAGCTGGGTGAGGGGGTAAAGCGTAAGAATGAAGGGCCCCGTGCTGAATTGTTTAAATATGATTTTTACCGAGGCAGAAAGGGGAGGGGTGGTGCTGAAAGGTTTGCAAAGAGGAAGGGGGAAGGGGGAGAGAACCTCGCCGCAACTTAGAGCCATAAATATTTCATATCAGCAGAATAAGGACGATTATATTCCTGCCAGCGCCTTTCTTGTGTATTTTAAACATGTCACCGCCTTCCACTCTCTCTCCCTCTGTTTGTGTGTTTCTTGTAACGTGCCCATGAAATAAAGATTAGCTGAATAATCAAGAGTGTTTGGAAATGGGGGAAAGGGCCTGTCTCAAGAGCACCCACTGGCTCAGGTTGGGAGAGAGGCAGGGAGCTATTATTATTATTATTATTATTATTATTATTATTATTATTATTGCTGCTGCTACCATTATTCTTTTATGGATGCCTGACAGGCAAAGAAGTAAAATGTTCCAGGGACTGAATGGAAATATCAGAAGAGAGAAAGCAGAAGGACACATCCCTATCAGTGCAGTTGCTTAGAATTAGATGGGCAGGTAGACTGCCAAAATGGTGTTTGCAAAAAGAGTAGAGGGTGTGAACTTTTAGCACACATTGATCCAGGGCAAGAGTTAAAGTGTGAGTGGAAACAACAGAGTAATACTTTATTGTTGCCAGTGGAGGATGACAGCCTTTTGGACGCTGCTGAGGAGATAGTTCTCTTTGGGAACAGTTGTGAAAGTGGGCAGAAACAGACAGTCATGTGTACCTGCACTTATGAAGTTCTGGGTTGCCGGGGGGTGGGGAATCACTCACATGAATAACTTTTACTGGTGCACCAGAATACTACAGGGAGTTTTGGCTAAACATGCAAATTACTTGCACCATGGCTTTGTGGAGTTTTGCATGTTGGTATCCAAATGACTTCCCTAGAGTTGCTTGCAACTTTCTCAGTGCAAGTCCCAAAACACTGCAATGGAACATGAGGGATGCCTATAGCCTGAAAGTAGCAAAAAAAACTTTCGAAGCCTTCAAGAAACCTTGCAACCAAGCAGAAAGTTATTCATTGCTCCTTTCAGCACAGGGGGTTTCAGATTACAGGAGACACCTTTGAAAAACCCTGTGGTCCCTGTGTCTCCACCACAAAACCCATTCCAAATGCCATTTCCATTTTGCTGCACTGCACTGCAAGCCAATTTGTCCTGTGTTAAATGTAATTTTGCCAAACAGAGAGAGCCAAAGGCAGGGAAACATTTATTCTCTACTATCAGAGTGATTGGAACTGCTGGATTTGTTTCTTTGTTTAAATTTTGTATTCTAGGAAATTCATATTCTTCAGCTGAGGAGTTCAGAAGATTACAGGGTTAAAGAGAAGTATCAGGCAGGGTTAGATCAGGGATGTGGGGTGTGTGTGTCAAGAGAGAAAGGAAGTGTCTATTACATTTTTGGAATTTGTTCAGATTCTGAAACAGAATCTATTACCTCTTTCCACAGCACAAACCTCTTTTAAGTTGTGCTGGGATGGGGTCAGTCAACAAATAAATACACTGAAAATAGTGATTCAGGGAATGGTGAATAAATAGGGGTTACCTTCATCTTCTTGCAGTGGGTCCATCAGAGCAAAGAATCACTTTTTGTTCCATTTCAAGACCCACACTGCACGAAACTTTCAACTGTATATTACTTCCAAAGTCTACACTGGTTGTTTTCATTCAGTTTTAACAGAATGATACCAAAACACTGTGTTATAAAAAGTCTGCAGGTTCGTGGAGGGAGGGAGGAGCTGGCCAAGGGGGATACCAAGGAAATGAAGTGTTGAAGGTATTGACGTTGCAGGCTTTGAATGGCATTTGGTCTTTGCTGAATAGTTATATCAGTCTCCTGACCATAGAAAAAAGTAGGTCATTGACTTAACTTGGTGGAACGATGTCATCAATGAGGCAGCCCAGTCAATGAGAGCTCATAACCCACAATCAGTCAGAGCTGCTAAAGTGACCCATTTTACTGACAAGTTATACAAATCCTGGGAGAATGCTTGTAAACACAACGGGGGGGGGGCATTCACAGGGTAAGTTCCAATGCTGACCATACTCAGAGTAGACGTGTTGAAATGATGGGGCATACCTTTAGTCCATTGGTTTCAATGGTCTACTAATTGGATGTATCCCTTATTATTCCCTCCTCACCTGCAGAATTCCCAAACCAAAGCAGATCCTATCTCTTTCCTTACCATGCAAACTCCTCCTCTGTTCAGTGTGGTTCCGTGGACTTCATCATCTAACTGGGAGTTATTGTGGCAGCACTTAACAACCCACAGTCTCCAGAAACACGAAGTTTTGCAGCGAGCCACATTGCAAAAGAGGGTCCCAGAGAGGCTGGTACCCGCATTATAAGGAGGAATGCAAACCAGTGCAACAGACAGAAAAGCTTCAGCGGTGGGATATTCTATCAAGCAAGCAACTTTGGGGTGTTTTTTTTTTTTGTGGGGGGGAATCACCATCTCTGCAGGGTTTGAACCATGGATACAAAGTCATACCCCGCCCCCCAGAAGCTGCTGGGACACTGGGAGAGACGTTTCCAAAGGGAAATCGAAACCACTTCCAAGTCTCTCTCGGTGGGAACTTTTCTTCGGGAGGGTGAACCTGTTTGCTTCTTCCAGCGCACTTGCCTCCGCCAAACGCGGAGCGGGCTTCCGGAAGGAGCAGCACAATCCCGAAGAGATCGAGCCCGTTTAGAAGCAGCGATCCTAGAGATCAGGGGAGCGACCTCCTGCCGCCATCGACGGCTCGAGGGGAGTGGGCTCCAGAGACGCACCTGTCTTGCGTCCCCACGGCTAGAAAGCCACCGTTCCCGCCGAGGGAGAAGCGCCTGGACGGCTTGCAATCCTCTACATGCAGCAACACCCCCTTCCAACCTGGGAGCGAGTCCCGCGGAAGTCCACGGGGAGCGGGCACGGCGACTGGGATCGCGCTGTCAAGAGAGGCGACACCTCCCCCCCCCCCCGCCGCGACGGCGGGAAAGTGGCTGGTGAGCCACCATCATCATATTTAACATAAACCCGTCGAGAATCGATAAGGAAAGCAGACTGCCCTGCTGCGCTCCAGAGCGAGCCGAGCGGGGCGGGAACCAGGTGCTGGCGGGCAAGGCGCGGGCTCCGCGGTGGGCAGCCTTCGCGGACTTACCCAGGCTCCAGAAGGACTCTTTCGCCTCGCCGCTCCCCGGGCGCTCCCCGTCGCCCTCTCCCTCCTCGGAATTACGGCGAGGTAATCCACACACAGCCCGGCTTCATGAAACCCCCGGCCAGCCTGGCATGGATCTGTATTCCGAAAGTCGCGCGGCGGCTGCTCCTCCTGCCTGACGGAGCCGCTGCCTGCCTGCCTGCCTGCCGCCCCTCCGGCACTCAGTCCGCGCGTCAGTCAGTCAGTCAGTCATTCCGCGGCAGCAGCCCGGCGCGCGCGCCTCGCCCGCTTGTTGTGCCCGAGATGCGGTGCCCGAGGCTGCTTCCCGCTCGTCTGGCTGGCGGGGCTTGGCCACCTCAGGGATCCGTTCGGACTCCGGGCTGGCATCGGCGAGCCCCGGCAGGCTTCCCCTTGGCGGCGGCTGGCTGGCTGGCTAGGGCTGCCTTGCCTCGCCTGCCTCACGCTGTCATTTCCTTCATGGATGTGGCTCGGCGTTTCCCTCTCGCTCCCGCCCACCCTCTCTCTCTCTCTCCCTCACGCTCGCTCACTCCGCGCGCTTCGCTCTCGCTCGCTTTCTGCCAGTACCACAGGAGCTAGACTGGCACGGCGCTCCTTCTCCCTCCCTCCCTCCCTCCTCTCTCCATCACCAGCAGCCTGCCCGCGAAAGCCGGCCTCCTTGCATTACCATGGAGCTCATTAACATACAGGCACCGGGGATTAACCCTTCCCCGGCCAGCGCCCACAGATCCCAGGCCTGCCCCAATTTGCTGCAGTCTTTGGAACTCCCCCCACGCCCGCTTCTCTCTCCCTCTTCCTCTCTCCTCAGTAACGTCAGAGCAAAGCAAAATCAAGGAATCCGTCGGAGGGAGGGGGAAGATTTTGGCTGGATCGGGAAGGAACAGGGATGATTTTTAGGGGGTGGGCGTGTGTGGAAGCAGGTATATGTTTTGGAATAGATCCGCAGCCGGGGTTGTCGGCCCCCCCCATTCATCCACAGCAGGGATGCTACCTGTCAAGGGGGTGGGTGGGGGTCCTCGCTGGCTCCTAAGGGAAGGGAGTGGAGGGGCGGGTGGAGGAGGGAGGGAGCAGAAAGCCAAACTCCAGCGGAAAAGCAACAGAATTCAGAGCTCAAGAGGAAGAATCGGGGTGGCTGGCACCGGCTCCTGCGTCCAAGGCTGGCGGGCGAAAGAGGGGACGGCAAGGCAGCCTGAAGAAGGGGAAGTGGGCTCAGGGGGCTCAATCCCAGAGCCGCGCGAGCTGGGCCAGGTAAAAACAGGCGCACAGGTGCGTTGCCACAGGTGGGACATCATCCTGGGGATGGAGGGAGGGGAGGGGGACCTCCCTCTCTCCTTCACTCTTCTCCTTGTTCCCCCACCCATACCACCAAAACGTTCGCAGCAAGTGCCCCCGGGAGGCAGGCTCCTAAGTAAGTGACCGCAGGATCGCAGCCTTCAAATAAAAAGGAGGGGGAAAAGGGTGGTCCTAGCTCTTCCTTCCGGCCTGTTGCACATTATGCTGAAAGACTCTCGGGAGAGTGTTTTGCGATTATGGAATGTAGGGTTCAGGGTTTCCATATAGGCGAGTGTCAAGCTAAGCTACGACGGCGTGTCATAGTCGATGTGCATCAATTCAGGAAATTCCTGTGCGGAAATCAGGAAACACAGACACACCTGGGAGTGCAAAGGTGCGGCGGGTAGGTGCAATACAACACGGGGAAATAGTATTTTCCCACCAGATTTCTAGGCAGGGGAAGCAGAGAAATGAACAGGGCAAGGAGATGCATGCTTACTCAGAAGTAAGCCTTCCTCCCCAATAAAGTGGGCACAGGAGTGCCGCAGAAGAAAGTTAACACATTTTAACTACAGACGTTTGTCCGTTTCCTTCAAAATATTGCTAGATATCCATCTTTCTATACAGGAAATGTAGGTAGTGACTAGTCTAGTACTATAACAAGTGCTGCAAGCCTTTTCAGTGGTGGCCCCTCTCCCACCAAGAACTCCCACCTTCCTGAGGCCCCATTTCTTAACTGTAAAGTTGATAGCTTTAGGGTGGTTAAGACCCACCTTTTTCAGAGGACGTTTGGAGGAGGAGACAAATCAATTAGTTGTTACTGCTGCTATTAATAAATTGCAATGTAGCAAATTATTGTTGAATTGCTGTGTGGAATATTTTAAGGGCTGTGTTATTTTATAGAGTTTTATGTATTGTTCTTATTTTAGTTGACTTTGACTTAAAGGGCCCAGTGGCTTGTGCAGCAGGCAGGAATCTAAGTAAGTAATTATCTAGGGAGGGGGGATTCTTATTCTTTCAAAAGAAAGGCAGGAACATAGGCGCCGACTCCATGGGGCTTGAGGGGGCCCGAGCCCCCTCAAAAATTCGTTTGGGGGGGGCTCCGCCCCCCAATAATCTCCGGCGCCCCTCCAGCAGAGCGCCATCGCCGCCCCTCCCCCAGCCCAAAATGCACAGGGAGGGGCGGGCTGCATGCCTCCTGCCCTCCCTCCCGAGCAAAAGCTCCACCCAATTTCCTTTGGAGCTGATTAATAGGCGCAGCACGCTCTCCCCTATTCGCTCACGAGGAGGCGGCGCCACTTTATTTGCATATTCATGAGCTTATTTATTATTCATGAGCTTTCCCGGGCCCCCCCAATATTTTTTATAAGTCCGCGTCCCTGGGCAGGATCTAAATATATTCACTAACCATCTCTGAACATGGGAATTGGGAGTGGGCAGTGATGAATCTGCTGGTACACCCCAAAAGACTTTTTGATTTCAGATGACTCTTCAGTGATCTTTTTGGTTGGAAATGGGAGCAAATGTAACATACGCAAGGCAAATCATCACTGGAACTACAGTGGTACCTTGGGTTAAGAACATAATTCGTTCTGGAGGTCCGTTCTTAACCTGAAACTGTTCTTAACCTGAGGTACCACTTTAGCTAATGGGGCCTCCCGCTGCCACCACGCCGCCACCGCGTGATTTCTATTCTCATCCTGAAGCAAAGTTCTTAACCTGAGGTACTATTTCTGGGTTAGTGGAGTCTGTAACCTGAAGCGTCTGTAATCTGAAGCATCTGTAACCCAAGGTGCCACTGTACCTGCCTAGGAAACGTGTGCTGTATCTATTCCTTCACTGAGTGAGCAATCGGTTGGAACAGAACAGCTGCAGGAATGGCTTGAATCTGTGTAGGACTGTGCATGTGAAAGAGTGTGCAAGAGGTCAGCCCCCAGTCTTGCACCATTTCCCCAATGAAAAGCACATCCAAGTTACACATATTGCTGTGGAGAGGGGGAACCATACAGCAAAACATGATGCGATCTGAAGTGGTGAGTTTTCACACTACAGTTTTCCTGCACCATAATTGTGGAAGCTGATTCCATATTGGGTATACAGTGGTACCTTGGGTTACATATGCTTCAGGTTACATACGCTTCAGGTTACAGACTCCGCTAACCCAGAACTAGTACCTCGGGTTAAGAACTTTGCTTCAGGATGAGAACAGAAATCGCGCGGCGGCGCAGCAGCAGCAGCAGGAGGCCCTATTAGCTAAAGTGGTGCTTCAGGTTAAGAACAGTTTCAGGTTAAGAATGGACCTCCGGAACGAATTAAGTACATAACCAGAGGTACCACTGTAGCTCCCCACTCCTTCCATGTACAGAAGCCAATAGGCTGGCAGCTGTGTCATACCTCGCCTCTGGTGATAGGACAGTGCACCTGAGGACAGTAGGCCAGCTTAGGGGATGCAGGTCAAGTTGTGTGGCATACAAAGCTCCATCCTCTCTTAAGACTTTACTGCTGTCCCCCACTTCCCAGCATCTGCTGCCTGGCTCTTCTACTGAAGGGACCTCCATGTATTCAGTGGTCCTTTTGTACACAGTGTAATCAAATGACACATGCACACAGGGTGCAGAGAGATGCTTTGTGTGTACCACTTGCACTTGTGTAGATTTTGTGCATAAGATCACAGGAAGGCTGAGAGGAGGAGCCAGAAGTTAAGATCCTGCTTCCTCTTCTATGCATTCATGCATTCTGTGAACTGCCCTGAGACCTCCAGGTATAGGGCAGTATATTATTATTATTATTATTATTATTATTATTATTATTATTATTAAAGAATTCAGTACCAGCTGTCATGCTGTCTGAACAATGTTTGCCCAAAGGGGCTGAATCATATCCTTGGTGTTCAGATCCTGTCTACTGTTTTCTTCTTGTCCAAGCCAAGCTATGAAGGGGGTTCTATTTCCTTGTCTCCAGCCTTTGTCTGACATAGTTCCATATATATGTATGTCCCAGGATTTGGGCTGAAGACGAGCGCCTTCATCTTTTTGGCTTTTGTGTCAAATCTTAAAGCTGACACTGAGTTCTGATACAATAATGGCTATGTTCATGGGGCTGGATGATAAACTAAAGTTGAAACTCAACAAGGGGTTGTGGATTGGTGGTTCTTGTGTTGAGGAATTGGGTAGATAGTCTGCAGGGGATGGGGCTCATGGATCCAGCATGTTACTGCAGACCCAAGTAGCTATTTCCAGCTATGACCAGTTTGCCAGCTATGGTTGTTTTGGGACCTGGACTACCTGGACTCTGGACTCTGTAATCCATGCTCTGCTAACTCCCTCATCTGATTGCTGCAATGTAAGGCTTCCCTTGACATTTTTGGTGCCAGTTAAAGATGGAGCTCCACGTTAGGGATGGAATATTCTGTCAATTTCAGTTCTCTCGGTTTCTCATTTTCCCCGGTCTTAAATTCAGTTATCCACATTTTGCAGCAATTTGCAATTTTTTAAACAGCAAATCCTCCAGACAATCTATCAGCGTTTTAGTGTAAATTTCCCCCTAATAAACACATTTTTCATGCAGTTTCCCCATATGCATTTTTGTATGTTATTTTCACCAATATCTTCATTGTTAATACAGTCTTTCCCCTAATATGTAGTATGAATTTTTGTACGCATCCCTTGGTAGGAGGACTGCATCACAAAATCTGGATAACTGCGAATTTTCAAGAACACTTGTGTTTCAGTTCACTTACTGTTTTGGAAAATGTGAATTTGATAGATCCAACTGTAAGTGCATACTGAATCAAATTTCTCCTCCCTTCCTACTCTTCACCCAGGCCTTTGGTGGAAATTTCCTTTACAAGTCCAGCAGTAAATTGATGAGGGTTGTCCTCTGCACTGATCATATGGTTTGTTTTAAGCTGTTTTAAAATTGTTAGTTAAGAATTCATTGTTTTAATGAATTGATGCCTGTGCTGTAAATTGCTCTGGGATCATAACTGATGAAGGGCAGTTTAGAAATTGAATTAGAAATAAAATAATGAATGGTGAAGTATGCTTTGTTAATCATCATCATAATTTTTATCTCAGTCTTCTGCCAAGCAGCTCAGAGAAGCATCCCTGGGGGTTATTCTGCTGATCCACACAACAACCTTGTGAGATAGAATAGACTGAGATGGTGGATTGACTCAGCTTTATAAGTGACCAGGGAAGTAAACTTGGGTACTTCTGGTTCAAACATACCATTCTATCCACTACATCACACTGGCTCTCTCAAAATTCCTGGCATTGAGTCATCACAAATTATCTG